CACAGTGACCTCCTCACCGTGTGAGCACGTGACGAGGTGGAGGGGCTGCAGGAGGGAGAGGAGAGGAGGAGCCAAGGGCGCGGGAGAGTCTCCTGGACGACGCCATCGACTACACACAAAGTCACGAGGTACAGGCAGAATCGATTTAAGGTTCGATTAACTACACTCGCGTCGATTCCCATTGGGATAACATGGGAATCGATTCTAGTCGAGTAATGGATGTCTGGAGTCGATTCCCATTGGGATAACATGGGAATCGATTCTCAGTCTAATCGCGTGGGAATCGAACAAGATAGACGAAACGTGGGTAGGCGTGGTTTCTCTCTCAAACTTATCGATCTTTCGATTTATCGATCTTCAACACTTGTTATTGATCTGTGTAAGATCGTCGCCAGCCAGGTAGGCTGCTGTGGTGTTCTCTACAGCTGTGCCTGGCTGCTGGTGGTGGTGCTGGTGGTGGTGCTGGTGGTGGTGCTGCTGGTGGTGGTGTGCTGGTGGTGGTGCTGGGTGGTGGTGTGGTGGTGGTGCTGTGGTGGTGGGTGGTGGTGGTGGTGCTGGTGTGGTGCTGTGTGTGTGTGGGGTGGTGATGGTGGTGCTGGTGGTGGTGCTGGTGGTGCTGGTGGTGCTGGTGGTGGTGGTGCTGGTGGTGCTGCTGGTGATGGTGGTGCTGGTGGTGGTGCTGCTGGGTGGTGGTGCTGGTGGTGGTGGTGCTGGTGGTGGTGCTGCTGGTGGCTGGTGGTGCTGGTGGTGGTGGTGCTGGTGCTGGTGGTGCTGGTGGTGCTGGTGGTGGTGGTGCTGGTGGTGGTGCTGCTGGTGGTGGTGTGGTGGTGGTGATGGTGGTGCTGGTGGTGCTGCTGTGGTGGTGGTGCTGGTGGTGGTGCTGCTGGTGGTGGTGTGTGGTGGTGGTGCTGGTGGTGGTGCTGTGGTGGTGCTGGTGGTGCTGCTGGTGGTGGTGCTGGTGGTGGTGGTGCTGGTGGTGCTGCTGGTGGTGGTGGTGCTGGTGGTGGTGCTGCTGGTGGTGCTGGTGGTGCTGGTGGTGGTGGTGTGGTGCTGGTGTGCTGGTGGTGCTGTGGTGGTGGTGGTGCTGGTGGTGGTGCTGCTGGTGGTGGTGCTGGTGTGTGATGGTGGTGGGGTGCTGGTGTGGTGTGGTGTGTGTGGTGTGCTGGTGGGCTGGTGTGGTGGTGCTGGTGGTGGTGTGGTGTGTGCTGGTGGTGGTGTGCTGCTGGTGGTGGTGGTGTGGTGTGTGGTGGTGGTGCTGGTGGTGGTGTGGTGGTGGTGCTGGTGCTGGTGGTGGTGGTGCTGCTGGTGGTGGTGCTGGTGGTGGTGCTGCTGGTGGTGGTGGTGCTGGTGGTGCTGGTGGTGGTGCTGGTGGTGGTGGTGCTGGTGGTGGTGCTGGTGCTGGTGGTGGTGCTGCTGGTGGTGGTGCTGGTGGTGGTGGTGCTGTGGTGGTGCTGGTGCTGGTGGTGGTGGTGGTGCTGCTGGCTGGTGGTGGTGCTGGTGGTGGTGATCAAAAACACTTTTAAATGTCTGGGACAACTAGTGTTAGTTGCTAGGCCAGGCTGCCTCCATAGGGGTCATTTGCGTCGTGTTTACTAATATAAATAGTCTAATAGTGTGAAATACACTGTGTTTAATACCACTAGTGTAATAGTGTGGAATGCACTGTGTTTAATACCACTAGTGTAATAGTGTGGAATGCGTTGTGTTTAATACTAAAAATACTGATAGGTTACATCAGCCCACAGGTGCAGGGAGGGGCTGGGTGGGGGAAGGGAGGGGAGGGGCTGGGTGGGGAGGGGCTGGTCACCCCGTGGTGCCCTTATAAAACTCAACGTTTCACCTACTCACGCCGGCTTGTGCCCGCCCTCACAGTCGGGCATATTTGCGGAATACACCACATTGCCCTGACCGTTGACCCTGCAGGCCATTGAGCGAGCAACCCAGCGTCACTACCAGCTCCCTCCGCAGCAGCAGGAATGTGTTGTGACGGTGCGGACTGCCGCGTTGTGTTTCACACGACACAGGATCGACGACGGGAGGAGAAGGGCACGGTGGATTCACGGCTCCACAAGCAGCAGCAGTAGCAGCAACAGCAGCTGCAGCAGCGGCAGCAGTACCAGCAGCAGCAGCAGCTACAGCAGCGGCAGCAGCAGCAGCAAGCAGCAGCAGCTGCAGCAGCGGCAGCAGCTGCAGCGAGAACTTGCCGGCCACATGTCGCTGCGATGTGTCGCGTTGCTGTTGCTCGTCTCCGTCTCCTTCCAAGGTGATGATCACCGCCGCCGTGAACATCGGCAGCATCCAGCAGCATCCCCCCCCCCCCCCCCTCATCCGATCGTGGTTCGGCTTCACCGTGTCAATCGTCGTCTGTAGACGCGGAAGATTCGTGCCCACTCACACTACACTACACTATACACTACACTATACACTACACTATAATACACTATACACTACACTATACACTACTATACACTGCACTACTATACATTACACTATACACTACACTATACACTATACACTACACTATACACTACACACTACTATACACTTCACTACTACACTACACTATACACTACTTTACACTACACTATATACTACACTATACACTACTTACACTTCACTAATACACTACACTATACACTACACTATACACTACACTACTATACACTACTATACACTACACTACTATACACTACACTACTTTACACTACACTATACACTACACTACTACACTACACTATTATACACTATACACTACACTACTATACACTGCCACTACTATACACTGCACTACTATACATTACACTATACACTACACTACTATACACTACACTATACACTACACCACTACTATACACTTCACTACTACACTACACTATACACTACACTATACACTACTTTACACTCATCATCATCATGGCTTGGCTTCGCGAACGAAGATCTAGGAAGGACATCCACGTCTTCTGCAGGCACGCTGGTGGCTGAAGAGGCCTATGCGGGACAAGCAGGTCCTGCCACAACAGCTGCAAGTATAGGTCTCATCTGGGATGGGTGCTGAGGGATCATGGTTCTTCCTCCTTCTCCTTTTGTCCTCCATACGGGCCCTGTGGGTATCTTCGAAGAAGGAGGTGGCCTGGTGGACTGTGTGCCGCCAGGAGTTGCGATCAGCTGCTTGTGTTGCCCACTGACGGTGATCGATGCAGCAAGCAGTGAGGGACTTCTTCAGGGAGTCTTTGTATCGCTTTCGTGGTGCCCCTATGTCGCGATGGCCAGAGGACAGTTCCCCATACAGCACAATCTTAGGCAAGCGGTGGTTCTCCATCCTGGCGATGTGCCCTGCCCAACGAAGCTGTGTCTTGAGGACCATGGCCTCGATGCTGATGACCTTCGCTGACTTGAGGACTTCAGTGTTGGCGACGAAGTCACTCCAGTGAATATTGAAGATTGTGCGGAGGCAGCGCTGATGGAAACGCTCGAGGAGACTCAGGTGACGACGGTACGTGACCCAGGACTCAGCGCCATACAGGAGAGTTGTCAGCACAACAGCTTTGTAGACGTTGACCTTTGTGGCTCTTTTAAGGTTTCTGTTGTTCCAGACACGTTTGTATAGTCTGCCAAATGCACTGTTTGCCTTGGCCAGCCTGTTGTCGACTTCGTTGTCGATCTTGGCGTCAGACGAGATGACGCACCCCAAGTAGCTGAACTGGTGGACAGCTTTCAGTTCTGTTTGTTCAATGAAGATGCTTGGTGGATGGTGCTCCTCATGGGGTGCGGACTGATGAAGAACTTCAGTCTTCCTCAGGCTGACTTCAAGGCCGAAGATCTGAGCTGTTTTCGCGAAACAGGACGTAATTCGCTGCATAGCTGCCTCTGTATGAGCAAGGAGGGCGGCATCGTCAGCAAAAAGCAGCTCCCTGATCAGTTGCTCCATGGTCTTTGTGTGGGCCTGCAAACGCCTCAGGTTGAACACGCTCCCGTCGAGACGAAAACGGATGTATACGCCATCAGCGTCGTCGAGGTCCTCTGTGACCTGCTGGAGCATCATGCTGAACAAAATGGTGAACAGCGTGGGAGCAAGAACACAGCCCTGTTTCACGCCGTTTGCAATAGTGAAGGGCTGCGAGAGATTGTTGCTATGTCTGACTTGTCCAAGCTGGTCTTCATGAAGCTGGACGATCATGGTGAGGAACTTCGGTGGGCAGCCTAGCTTGTCCAGGATTTTCCAAAGTCCCTGCCTGCTCACGGTGTCAAATGCTTTTGTCAGGTCCACAAAGGTGACGTACAGTGCTTTGTTTTGCTCCCGGCACTTTTCCTGAATCTGCCTCAGGACAAACACCATGTCTGTGGTTCCCCGGTTGGCTCTAAAGCCACACTGGGTCTCTGGGAGGTGATCTTCAGCTATTGCGGGTACCAGTCTATTCAGCAGTACTCTTGCGAGGATTTTGCTGGCGACGGACAGAAGTGTTATGCCACGATAATTGGAACAGTCTGATTTCTCCCCTTTGTTCTTGTACAGGGTGATGATGACTGATACACTACACTATACACTACACTATACACTACTTTACACTACACTACACACTACACTATACACTACACTATACACTACTTTACACTACACTATACACTTCACTAATACACTACACTATACACTACACTACTATACACTACACTATACACTACTATACACTACACTATACACTGCACTATACACTACACTATACACTACACTATATACTACACTGTACACTACACTATACACTACACTACTATACACTACGATACACTACAGTAATATACTCTGCACTAATATATACTGCTGCACAATACATTATACACTACACTACAGTACTATAAACTACACTATACACTACATACACTACACTACTATACACTACACTACTATACACTACACTACTATACACTACACTACTATACACTACACTATACACTACACTATACACTACACCACTATACACAGTCTGCAGCGTGACTTGCGTGCGATGACCGTCATCGCCGCAGGCGTCGAAGCGGCGATCTCCGTGGCGGTGACCCCGCTGGTGGAGGTGGAGCTGGGAAGCCCGCTGGTGATCCCCTGCACGGTCACCAGCTCCGTGGGCGATGAGGTGGTCACCCAGTGGTTCATCGTGAGTAGCGCCACCCCCACCCCACCCCACCCACACGCACACCGCTCGGCCACGTACGTCGTATGCCCTGCCCAGAGACTCACACTGTCACCCATAGACTCAGCACTGCACCATAGACTCAACACTGCTACATAGACTCAACACTGCACCATAGACTCAGCACTGCTACATAGACTCAACACTGCACCATAGACTCAACACTGCCCATAGACTCAACACTGCTACATAGACTCAGCACTGCCCATAGACTCCAACCCCCCCCCCCCCCGGCACAGATTTCACGATCTTCGCGAACGAGGATCTCGTACCGCGACGCGCGACTCTTCGTGGCGGACGTGGGCACCGGCTACGAGAGCCGCATCGACGCTCGGCGCAGCGACTCCGCGCTGGCGCTGAGCGCGACGGAGACCGCTGACGAGCGCCACTTCGTCTGCCAGGCGCTGGCGGGGCGCGCCGGCGTGGCCGAAGCCACCGCAAGCGTGCGGGTCTTTTGTAAGCGAGTGCACGGGGCCACTTTCTACTCCCCTACTTATGGACGTTACAGCAGAGACTCCCCTACTTACGGACGTTGCGACGTGGACTCCCCTACTTACGGACGTCGCTAAAGAGACTCCCCTACTTACGGACGTCGCTACAGAGACCCAACTTACGGACATTATGACAGAGACTCCCCTACTTACGGGCGTCGCTAAAGAGACTCCCCTACTTACGGACATTGCTACAGAAACTCCCCTACTTACGGACATTACGACAGAGACTCCCCTACTTAAGGATGTCGCAAAAGAGACTCCCCTACTTACGGACATTACCACATGGGCTTACCCGCTTACGAATTCTCTACTGACGAACGAGTCGTGATCTACGGGGTCTACGCTCGCTAGTCGATTTTGCACGCGAGTCAAACTTTACTCCTGTCGATTCTAACGTGTTGTACGGCGTGTAAAGCACCACTACTATACACTACACACGACTACACACTATACATTACACACTACCACACTACACTATACTACACTATACTACTATACACTACTATACACTACACTATACACTACACTACTATACTACTATACACTACTACACTATACACTACACTACACACGACGTTTCGGAGTCAAGTTGGACTCGCAAGCAAACGGCCGATGACGTCCCAGCGACGTTTGACGCACAGAGCGGCCCCTCCCCCCGTGTCCCTCCCAGCGGCCCCCACGGTGGCCGTGGCTGCGAGCCAGTGGCCCAAGCTGCTCAACCAGCAGCAGCACAAGGTGAGCAGCCCGCGGCCTGCGGGGACTTTCTTTCATTTCTCACTCTGCCTTGTCGTCGCTCCGTCTCCCGCTGCTCCGTCTCTTGGGGTGGCTTTGTTACCTTAACGGCGTTGCGGAGACGCACGCACCCCCACCCCCCCCCCCCCGGCTGCGGTGCTGTAGACGCCACCGATTCGTGATTCTAACGTGGTTTAGTTTTAGTTGGGAGATGTTGACTACCTCGCCTGGTGCACAGGAGGTCGTGGGTTCGTATATAGTGTAGTGTATAGTGTAGTGTATAGTGTATAGTAGTGTATAGTATGTATAGTGTAGTGTATAGTGTAGTGTATAGTGTATAGTAGTGTATAGTAGTGTAATAAAGGACTCTTTCACTGTGTCTGTCTCCGTTGTCCTTTATTTGGGTTCTTTACAACTTTGCCCCACACGGCCCTCGCTCAGAGCCTTCTCCGTCTCCCGCTCGGCAGCTTGGCAGCTGCCGTCGCTCACGTAGCCTTCTCCTCACTCCCGATGCAGCTCCGCTGCTGGCTCTCCTCTCAGCCTCTCCGCCTCTGGTGCAGTCTCTCAGCTGCTCTCTCTGCAGCCCCACCGCTGCTCTCTGGTTCCCCCGTGCCCGGACACCGCTGGCCAACGGTGCCTCCTCCCGTCTTGTGGCGATCGTGCCACTCTCCACCCTCTGCCCTGCGTGGCCTCCTCCTGTCTTTATTCTTACACTCTCCCCTCGTCTCTTCCGGTTACCGCCCTTAAGAGCTTTCTCTTCTCCCCCCACGTGACCTAACCCCTCCCCCAGTTACGTCATATCCGCGAGGCCGTTTACGCCCGCATTACACCACCCTCCCCCGTGGAGAAAATTTCAGCCGTCCTCGGCTAAGCAACCACAAGTAATGCGGGCGACCACCAACCATCAGACATGCAAGGACAACGAAGCATACAATAAATATAACAATAACAACAAGAACAAGAACAGTATCAATCAACGAAAAGTAAGGGACTTCGACCGCGTGCGGGTCGCCGGCCCGTCCCGGACGGGCGGCGGCCCCCCTGCAGACCGAGAACGCGACGGGGTTTTAGGAGCGACAGGTTCAAAACTGCCTGTCGCTATTGGAGGCCCGCCAACGCCACGGTCCCGTTTCCCAGAAGGACCAGAGTCTGGGGTGTCCCGCAATCGTGTCTGTGGCGGGGTCGGAAGGGCGGCGGGGCTCGGTGTCCCCGCAGCCGTGGTAGGCCCACCCCGAACAGAGTCCCCTGTCTCCTGCGGTGTCACGGCTGGTTTGTCTGTAAAAGGCACGACAGGCGCTCTTGCAGGGTCAACAGGCACCGCCAAGGGTGCGTCGGCAGCAACAGGCAAGGCAACATCAGGAGATGACGCATCTGTTCGAGGGGCCACATATGGTTTCAAGCGAGACGTATGGACGTACCAGCGCCGAGATCTGAACCGAACGCGTGCAGACTGCGGGTTGGGAACCTCGATAAGCCGAACAGGCCCCTGCCATGGTTTATGTAATTTAGGGGAGGTCCCTGGCCGCACCTGCGGGCAATGCAGCCAGGCCATATCCCCCACGTTCCAGGGGCACTTCCCCTTTGAGCGTCGAGCGCACCGTTCGTTCCGGGCCTAGGCTTTGGCCATTGCCATGCGGGCCCCTTCCCGCGCCTCAGTGACGCGGCGAACGGTGTCCTGAATGTAATCAGGAAGAGGTTTAGTAGGTCCCCTCACTCCTGTCCCCAACTGCACATCCATCGGCGGCACATTTTCGCGACCGTACATAAGAAAAAACGGCGAATATCCCGTAGACGCATGCGGCGTCATCCGGTACGCCGAGAGTACCCCAGGGATATGCAAATCCCAATCCGCTTGTTTTTCATTCACCGTGTGACACAGCATGGCGGACAGAGTCCGATTCAGCCGTTCAACCATGCCATCCGTTTGCGGGTGGGAGGGGGATGTCCGGATCTTTTTAGTTCCCTGAGCCGCGCACACCTCCCCCAACAATTTCGAAGAAAAATTTCGGCCCTGATCCGTGAGGAGCCTCTCCGGCGCCCACTTGTCCATAACGTACCCGAATAGAAAGGCGTCCGTAATAGACGCCGCCGACTGGTCGGGCAAGGGCCAGGCCATCGGCCAGCGGGAGAGGTACTCCACCCCAACTAGCAAGTATTTATTCCCCTTAGCGGATGGCGGGAAGGGTCCCAAAATATCTAACGCCACCAGCTCATTAACTCGAGACACCTGAATAGACTGTATTGGTGGTACATATGGGTGTTTAGGCGGCTTCTGCCGGGCACACTCGGGACACGCGCGAACGTGCCCGACGACATCCGTCGTCATGCCGTGCCAAAAGTAATCTCGCTGCAACGTCAATAGGGTCTTCTGCACCCCCAGATGTAGTAGCGTGTCGCAATGCAGAGTCCTAATCAATTCGTACCGCAAGGATGCCGGTACAACAAGACGCCAGCGTTCCTGTAACCCTTCCCTCCACATCAGCAGTCCGTCGCGGAGAGCGGTTCCCGGCGTACCGCCGGAACCCAGTCCCCCACTCTCCTTCGCAGCTCGACTCCGCAGGGTCCCCAATGAGTCATCCAGCATTTGTTCACGAATCCATACAGCCCTTGGAAGGTTAAAAATGCCATCGGCCGGTCCGGGCCACTCTGGAGCCTCAGGCACCTCGACCGCCAACGCAACAGGCCGAGGGGGCTGTTGGATCGGCGTACACCTATGCGTCCCCGACGCGCACGCGCAAGGGGATCGCTGCGGCAACCTAGAGAACGCGTCCGCATTGGCGTGACGCACCCCCTTCCGATGTTGAATTTGGAAGGAAAACTCCTGCAGCGTGTCCAACCATCGCGCCAACTGGCCGGATGGCTGGTCCACCTTCAGGGCATACTGCAAAGCCGCATGATCCGTGCGCACAATAAATGAACGGCCGTAGAGATACGGTCGAAATTGGCGGAGAAAATAGACAATAGCCAAAAGTTCCCGGCGAGTGACGCAGTAGCGGGTTTCGGCGGGGGACAAAACCCAGCTACCGTACGCCACCACGCGCTCCACACCACCTTTGGACTGTGGACAACACGGCCCCAATGCCCGTGTCACTCGCGTCCGTATCCAGAATGAAGGGGTGATCAAAATCTGGATAGTCCAACGTCGGCGCCGTAGCCAACCGATCGCGCAGGCCTTGAAACGCCGCCTCCTCCGGTGGTCCCCAATCAAATTTCCGTCCTTTACCCGTAAGGAGGTGCAGAGGCCTCGCGATCGTTGCAAAGTTGGGAACAAACCTACGATAATATGAGGCAAACCCCAAAAAACGACGCACATCCCCCATCCGTGGCCGGGGTTGGCCAGTCACGGACGCACGCCGTCTTGTCCGGATCCGTGACAACCCCGTCTGCACTAACTATATGTCCCAAATAGCGCACGGACCGTTGCAGTAGGTGACATTTCTTAGGTTTAAATTTCAGATTGGCGGAGCGCATCCTGGCGAACACCGCCTCCAACCTCAGTAAATGTTCGTCAAATGTGCGGCTGAAGACGATAATATCGTCTAAATATATCAGACATGTCTCCCACTGCAACCCCGTTAATACCAGTTCCATCAACCTCTGAAATGTGGCGGGGGCAGCATTCAACCCCATCGGAAGACAATTAAATTAAAATAACCCCTGCGGCGTACGGAAAGCAGTCTTTTCCCGCGAGGACTCATCGAGGGAAGCTGCCAGAATCTCGAAGAGAGATCCAGCGTCGAAAAGAATTTAGCCCCCGACAAGGCATCGAGGGAATCGTCCATATGCGGCAGGGGGTACGCATCTGCCACGGACACTTTATTTAATTTCCGAAAATCCACGCAAAATCGCAATTTCCCGTCTTTCTTTTTAACCAAGACAACAGGCGCGCCCCATGGGCTGATAGATGGAGATATTATGTCCGCAGCCAACATGTCATCCACTGCCCCTCGCACATGATCTCGCTCCGCCGGACTCATCCGATGCGAGTTCAACCGAATAGGAGCAGCGTCCCCTGTGTCAATATGATGGGAAAGCAGGGAGGTGCGTCCCAAGTCCAGATCGTCGGAGCTAAACACATCGGAAGAACTCAACAATAGCGCGCGAAGCGCGGAACGCTGTTTCCCGGAAAGGGAAGAATTTTCCCCGCACAGTTCGGCGATCCAGCGATTATCTGGGGCCGCAGGGCCCGAAACCCTGGCAACCATCTCCCGGCGGCCCAGATAATCCTGGGCTGTAAACGCCGTAGTGGCATGTGCCACAACCGTTCCAGCCGGCACACACACATTTTCCGTACTCCCATTAAGCACCTGCAAAAATGGCTGCTGGTCCGGCCGGATAATAGTCTGCGCCCCGACGAGCACCGATCCGCCCGTTATGGTAGCGGACGGCGATAACAAAACCCCAGTTGCTCCCTCCCGACCAGGTACAGGTTTCCGATATCGCAAGGGGATAAGCATCTGCGAGCCAGGTGGAATATCAACAGATACCTCGGACAACGCCTGCACCTGGCAGACCGGGGCAGGTCGCCCCCAGGGCGACGGCAGAAAAGTAATTTTTCGACCCCCCGGTAATGCGATACAGTTTTGATTAACTCTAATTAGAATGGGCATTTTGGCCAGAAAATCAGTTCCCAACAAACATGGAACCGCAAGGGACCTCGAGATCAATACAATTCCCGAGGGCAACACTCCCCCGATAGATATATTAGCGTCCACCTGGCCCACAATGCCTATGCTACCCCCGTTTGCCGCAACGCAGGAATCGTAAACCGGACGCACGGCCTCTGGTGGGATGCCCAACAGATGAAAAATGACATCCGATATAATGGTCGTGGACGCACCGGAGTCCACTAAAATGCGCACGTCAACCCCCTGTATAGAACCCGGGACAGTGGACGAACCAGTAGCGGCCGCGAAAACCCGCCGTGCCAATTTACGCCACTGCGTTACTGAGCGACATGGCCCAGTCGATGGCCTCCCGTTATTAACAACACCCGGATCGCGTGGCAATGGTGATGAATGAGGTGTCAAGCCTTGCCGGGTGTCTGGTGCGCACCGACTTGCCTTTCCAGGAGGGTCCTTTCTCGGCACGTCCGCTGTCGAGGCATCCTGCTGGGGCGGTCCTGGGATACGGGCCCAGCAGTCCCTGGCGTAATGGCCCTTACGACCGCAGCGGAAGCACTCGATGTCGTTGCGCCGCACCGCAGGCCCCCCATCCCGACGCTCCCGCGTCGGCGGCGCAGATCGCGACCCCGGTCCACCGCGGGCCGACCACTACGCAGAGGCGGCTGTCAGCTCCTGCGGGCCCCCCCCCGTCAGGAACGTACACCGCCTTCTTGGGATCCCACTGCCAAGGCACCTCGCTTGAGGATGGGCCCCCCCGTCCACGCCGTGACTTGCTTCCAGCGGCGTAGATTAAATTGGGCATCAAGACACTTCGCGGCCGCCCGGGATGTCAGCTTTTCATGGCCACACACCGGCATAGGGATCCCCAAATCCCTGGACAGCTCGAGCATCTTGCCCAAAATTAGGGGTTCGAGTAGGTCAGGCTCCGTCTCCGGGTATGCGGCCATGGCTAACTCCAAGACAGCACCCCTGTATGCCACCGGCGATTCTTCGGGTGCCCGCTGGCGTTGAACGAACCGGCGGTGAGCATCATCCGGCGGCTCGTACGCATCCGCCATCTCATCAAAAACTCCTCTCAAGGTCTTCTTTTTTTCGGCCTTTATAGAACGGAAGAATCGCACCGACTCGTCGTCGAGAAGAGTTGTCAGAACTTCCAGGGCCTCTGCGTCAGTCCACCTGGCGGAGCGCACCGCCGCCAAAAATCTGCAGGCGAAAGCACTCCAGTCGCCACCGATGGAGAATTCTTTTACAGTTGTCAAGTGACGGCTGCGACTCCTTGCTGCGCCGTCTTCTGCAGGTGACTCGTCGTGTGGCATATTCAAGATGGCGTCGCACCGCAACGTGTCCAAGATGGCGGCCCCCCACCGCGGAGGGCGCAAGATGGCGGCTTCCCGCCGTTCTTCTCTTGCCACGCCCAAGATGGCGTCTTCGTGCCGCGTGGCAGATGGCGCTGGCAGCGCAGGCAAGACCGCGGCCTGCCGATCACCCCCGGGCCTCCCCGACGCCGTCGCCGGCGTGACGAGGTCGCACAGTTGCACCAGTACGGTTTTCAAGGTCTCCAGCTGCTCCGCCATCTGCCTCCATCGTAAGTCAGCGTCCTCCAGCGCGGACGGGTCCACCGACGCGGCGACATCTTAACCTCCCGGACCCGTACTCGTTCCCGCTCGGATCTCCTCCTCCATCGTAGGCAGGTCCACTGCCTGAGGAAGGTCGTCGTCGTCGGATGATGTAGCAGACGATGGTGCAGGAATATTCTTTCTTTAACTTCTGACACCAGTGTAATAAAGGACTCTTTCACTGTCTGTCTCCGTTGTCCTTTATTTGGGTTCTTTACAACTTTGCCCCACACGGCCCTCGCTCAGAGCCTTCTCCGTCTCCAGCTTGGCAGCTGCCGTCGCTCACGTAGCCTTTTCTCCTCGCTCCCGATACAGCTGCGCTGCTGGCTCTCCTCTCAGCCTCTCCGCCTCTGGTGCAGTCTCTCAGCTGCTCTCTCTGCAGCCCCACCGCTGCTCTCTGGTTCCCCCGTGCCCGGACACCGCTGGCCAATGGTGCCGAGTCCGTCGTGTGGCGATCGTGCCACTCTCCACCTGCGTGGCCTCCTCCCGTCTTTATTCTCACACTCTCCCCTCGTCTCTTCCGGTTACCGCCCTTAAGAGCTTTCTCTTCTCCCCCCACGTGACCTAACTCCATCCCCAGTTACATCATATCCGCGAGGCCGTTTACGCCCGCATTACAGTAGTATAGTGTAGTGTGGTAGTGTGTAATGTATAGTGTATAGTAGTGTATAGTAGTGTAGTGTATAGTGTAGTGTATAGTAGTGTAGTATATAGTGTAGTGTCTAGTGTAGTGTATAGTGTAGTGTATAGTTTAGTGTATAGTGTAGTGTATAGTGTAGTGTATTGTATAGTGTAGTGTATAGTGTAGTGTATAGTGTAGTGTGTAGTGTATAGTGTAGTGTGGTAGTGTATAGTAGTGTAGTGTGTAGTGTATAGTAGTGTAGTGTATAGTAGTGTAGTGTATAGTAGTGTAGTGTATAGTAGTGTAGTGTATAGTAGTGTAGTGTATTGTAGTGTAGTGTATAGTAGTGTAGTGTATAGTAGTGTAGTATATAGTGTAGTGTATAGTAGTGTAGTGTATAGTAGTGTAGTATATAGTGTAGTGTATAGTAGTGTAGTGTATAGTGTAGTGTATAGTGTAGTGTATAGTAGTGTAGTGTATAGTAGTGTAGTGTATAGTAGTGTAGTGTGGTAGTGTGTAATGTATAGTAGTGTAGTGTATAGTGTAGTGTATAGTAGTGTAGTGTATAGTACTGTATAGTAGTGTATAGTAGTGTAGTGTATAGTAGTGTATAGTGGTGTAGTGTATAGTATAGTAGTGTATAGTAGTGTAGTGTATAGTAGTGTATGGTATAGTAGTGTATAGTATAGTAGTGTAGAGTATAGTAGTGTATAGTAGAGTAGTGTATAGTATATTATGGTATAGTATAGTAGTGTATAGTATAGTAGTGTATATTAGTGTATAGTGTAGTGTGTAGTATAGTAGTGTATAGTAGAGTGGTGAATAGTATAGTAGTGTATAGTAGTGTACAGTAGTGTACTGTATAGTAGTGTATTGTATAGTAGTGTAGTAGTGTACCACACCCGGCTGCATTTGTCTCCCTAGTGGCGATGTGTGCACACTGCACCAGGTATTCCTTTGAGGCTGAGTCGACCTAGGGGAGGCTCAGAACCGGTTCAGATAATCGTCACTGATGTTGGCCGTGAGTGGGAATCGAACTTGGGTCGCCAGGTTCGTGGCGCGACGCGCTAAGAGGTTCTGTGCCTCCCCTAGGTCGACTCAGCCTCAAATAAATACCTGGTGCAGTGCGTAAAAACATCGCCACTGGGGAGACAAAGGCGGCCGGGCGTGGTGCTGGCCACCCACCTTCTCGTGTGCCGTTCTGGCCTTCATAGTTGCTCGCTAACAGCACTTGCCCCTACAGTCTGTTAAGGCTACACGGGGGATCTTTGTTGCATGTGTTGGTCTGTTTCCCTCTCTTGCAGATCGGTGAATGTTTTGTGCGCAACGCTTACCCAGAGCCCCTCATCACCTGGTACAAGGATTCCCTGCCCCTGCGGCCATCACCTGGTAGGTAGATCTGCTGGTGAATGTATCTGTCGGTGAATATCCGCTGGTGAATGTGTAATGGGTTCCGGAGACACTTGTAGAGGTAACTTCTTTATTACAATACAACACTCCAACACTCCTGATACTCTGTTACAGCCTAGGTACACAGCCTAGGTACACAGCCTAGCGACACAGCCTAGGTACACATCCTAGGTACACAGCCTAGGTACACTGCTCTGGCTACACTCTGGGGTCCTCCGGCTACAATCCCCCTAGGGGAGGCTACCTAACCCGACCCAGCCAAGGTGCGGGTCTGGACTCTGGCTTCCTCGGAACTCGCCCTCACAAGGACGTAGAGCCGGGAGTCCCAGAGTCCCACCACTGGCCCTCACAGCGTCCCGGCCCTTACAAGGACAAGCGGGACGAGGGGGTACAGGGTCCTAAGCTGGCTGGTCTCGGGTCTTGAGCTACAACTGGCCCCGATCGGCCAGGGAGCTGCCCTTTTATGCCTCGTGCCCAACGAGGGGTGGGGTTGTGTGCGCCCCCAGATATCCCACAGAGCACACACAGCCCCCCTGTTGGTGGCGCCAAGGGGCTTAACTGTCTGGGGTGCCTGGGATCCCAGCGCCTGGCGCCGAGGGCTTCTCTGCCTCGGATCCCAGAGCCTCCAGCAGCCCCTCCCCTCCTATGGCACTACACACGTATCTGTCGGTGAATATGTCTGCGATAGTGTAGTGTATAGTGTAGTGTGTAGTAGTGTAGTGTATAGTAGTGTATAGTAGTGTATAGTGTAGTAGTGTAGTGTATAGTAGTGTGTAGTGTAGTGTATAGTGTAGTGTATAGTGTAGTGTATAGTGTAGTGTGTAGTAGTGTAGTGTATAGTAGTGTATAGTGTAGTAGTGTAGTGTATAGTAGTGTGTAGTGTAGTGTATAGTGTAGTGTATAGTAGTGTATAGTGTAGTGTAAAGTAGTGTGTAGTGTAGTGTATAGTAGTGTGTAGTGTAGTGTATAGTGTAGTGTGTAGTGTAGTGTATAGTAGTGTAGTAGTGTATAGTGTAGTGTATAGTAGTGTACAGTGTAGTGTATAGTGTAGTGTATAGTGTAGTATATAGTAGTATAGTGTATAATGTAGTGTATAGTGTAGTGTATAGTAGTGTAGTGTATAGTAGTGTAGTGCGTAGTGTAGTGTATAGTGTAGTGTATAGTGTATTGTAGTGTATAGTGTAGTGTATAGTGTAATGTATAGTGTAGTGTATACTGCTACGTGTTGCAGGGAGTAAACATCGCCACTGCGGAGACAAAGCCGGCAGGGCGTGGTGCTGGCCACCCACCCCCTCGTGTGACACTCGCTAACAGCACTTGCCCCTACAGCCTGTTAAGGCCACGCGGGGGATCTTTGTCTGTGTGTGTGCGCCGCTAGACGTGAAAGTGACGAGGAAGGTGGCGACGGAGTCCGATGGCACCTTCGCCGTGACGTCCGTCCTGCACTACCAACTGCAGAGGCGGGACGTGGGAGCCGGGTATCGCTGCGTGGTCAACTACACCATGCCGGGCGGC